CCTAATTGTTGGGCTTCACAACAATTTCAACAAAGTGAAAAGTGTTACAGGAAAAAGCCAACTGGGAAAGACTCCCAGAATTAGCATAAGCAGATAATTGCCACTTTAGGTGAACAAGCCAAATGGCCACCAGGCAGAATACAAATAAAGGGAAAGGTTTATTGCATCCATCTGAATGGAAATATCCTGGAGTCGTATTCATTGTCTTTCATCTTTGCAATACTATTTAAAAACATTGAAAAGTTAAAGTTCCCATTTGTTCTCAGATTATTAAAATCTAAATATTGAGTATAAATTATGATGTAAAGCACATACGGCAAAATTGTTATGTAATTTAAATTGTAATTATTTGTGTTGATGTCAAGCATTCAAATTTCATGGTTGAGGTACGAAGTTCAAAGGGAAATGTTAGAAAAGCATGTGCAAAATATAAGGAAATGTGTTTTTTTTTGCAGAAGTAATGTTTAACAGAAACAAGCTTAACCATTTTTCCACCTTTTTCGTGAGTACGCTGAAGATGGCTTTTTTAATTGTGTAGTCGACTCTGTATATTGGAAAACTCACAGGACCAGTGAACTTTATTCTATATTCTGGACTATCCCTGTAACCAAAACCATTTGTGGTACCGTATAGAACGGGGCTGTGCGATGGCATTTCATTAACTGGTATTCATTTATGCATAATCCTCTGTATGTCAATTCTGGTGTCAATTTCTTGGTTGCCTTTCGTCTTTACCCCAGTGATGTGAATGGTAAAAAAAAAAATGGAAAAGGACTAAGGTTTAGTTGTGTAGGCCTACATGCATCGCTTTGTCTGGGCAGGTTGGTGAGATCTTCACTGCTGCTGGATCAGCATTTCAGAAGTTGGGAGAACTGGCCATGCAGTTGCACACCAGTGCTGATGGACCCAATCCTGGAGGGTGAGGGTGCAGTGATATCTTTTATGCCTAACTGCTAGAGCACTGCTACTTAGGAGCCACAAAGATACATTAGCATGCCTTTTGTGCAGTTTTTTAAACCAGGTCCAAGAACTGAGTCCCAAGCAGATTGGGACCTACAGCATCCAAAACTGTTGTTTTCTTGGCTGATGTGTAAAATCCAGCTGTAGCTGCTAGCAGATGTGCTACTTGATTTCTTTATGTCACAATAGAGGCACTAAATGCTCCTTGAATGTCATTATCATATTCATAAAGTGTTTAACATCTCAAGAAGAACTTCACATTTGACAGTGCTGATGCCCTGGTGTAAAATTGGTTGTTATAATGATTTGATGGGAATGGAGAAATGGATGTTCATGTTTCACACAATTTGGATTTTCTGATGAAGCGAAAGAAAGTATTAATGTAACTCACCCTAATTGTCATGTGAATTTTGAACGAATTGAGTGATATTCTATTTAAAAAAATCTGCAGAATATGATAATCTTTCTCATAATCTTTGGAATGACAGTTGCAGCCAAGCACCATGGCAGCAATACCCAAAGAATGTTGACTCTCCTTTTCTGATTGTTATAAATGATAGTGGGTGCTCATAGGGTAGTCATCCAATAATGCTGAGTTTCAATGGAGTTGCATGCTGGAAATTATGGCATATGTGCTTGAATGTTCATTTTTCTTCAAATTATTGCAGTTAATTCCAAGTACTGTCAGCCAGTAATTTTACCCATTCTATGCTTTCACATAAATATCTTCACAAGTGCAGAATATTTCCTCTAAATGTGCATTTTCTAGCTCACACTCTGGTTCATTCAACTGGAGATGTTTCAGTAATAGTTTTTTTTTTATCATTTTGTATTATTTTGCCCTCAATGAGGCCTGAATGATGTGCTCATATATTATATCATATTCTGGTTCATATTTTATAGGGAAACATTAGAAATAGTTCACTATGAATTTCTGAAACCCATATTGGAATGCACAGGATGGGAAAGTCTTGCCTTGCTGTGAGACTCAATTCAAATCTAAATTCCCTTGTGTTCTGCCATTGACAGCAAGTGGACTGACAAAGAAATCGAAATGCTGAGGCACGCCGTGAACCGCTTTAGCCACGATCTGAACCACATCAGTGAAATCATCCGGGAGAAGACAGTGTGAGTGCTCCCTTCTTTCCCATCCTGTGCCCTTTCTTTACAACATTATATTGCTACAATATAGGCCCTTTACTAGCATGAAGGAAGTGTATGTGAAATTTGCCAGGGTTACCATATATAATATTTTGAAAATTTATTAAAGTCATTACATCATCATCAGAAGTGTTCATTCTTGTGCAGAAGCCAAATGCGATCCAGCCTGAAAAAGAAGCAACAGCAGCAAGGTTCCCATGTTGCTGGATCTCTCCAGTCACCACAACAGCAGGCAGTGATGCCAGTCCCCTTCTCGATGGAGGAGCCGACGAGCGAAGAGGTGGTCGATGATGGTACGGTTCCCACAATCAAGGGTGAGGTCACCCTCAATGAACTGAATGCCGTTGAGGAGGAGGTTATCACTGACAGCATGGACCTCCAGTTCGCCACCACGGAAGAGGTGGTCACCTCGTAGGTGTGAACGTGCAACTTGTGTTGCATTGCGTGTTTCCGTGGGCGAGTGAGTGCGTGAGGGGTGATGATCTCTTGTCTCCATGTGGAGATTGGACATTTTGTCTGACTATTGCTGGTAACATCCTTCTTCCTGGCTCAATAAAGTTAATGTCATTTCAGGTTTTTTTGGCTTTGATTGCAGGAATGTATCCCTTACTGTGTGGTGAGGTAAATATTCTTGTTGCTGGCTACCATATTGTTGTAAGCTATGGAAGGCCTTTTATCATTTCTAAGTTTCCTCTTGGATTTCATGATAAATTATTTGTAATAGGGAACAATTCAAAAAAGTTTTCCATGTGTGAGGATTTATTTTGCTGGTGCTTGGCATCTTGCAACATGACTTTCAGGATGCAGATGCATTTTATTTGAAGCAAAAAGTTTTGCACTGTTGATAAATGGTTCCGTGACAAACTCGGCCAAGGTTTTAGCCTTGTGTCGCCCTTTTAGGGGCTGAGAGAGCAAACCTCCAAGTAGTTTGTCTTCAAATATCAAAGAATGGTCCTTGTTCATCTTTTAAAGGGAAACCTATGCAATTTAGCTATTTTAGTAAATGTGGTTTTTTTCCCTCTACATAATGGTTTGGAATTCCACTTTGGAAAGTCCATGCAATGAAATTGTCATATGTAACTTTCCTTGATTGCAAATTATATATTGCTGGGAAGCTGTCAAGGTACCATCTGATGCAGTTTGTAAAACAACTCATTTGAGAATCTCAGCAGAGTGCTTGAAAGATTTTTGCATCCATTGTGTTTTCCAATTCTTGAGCACTCTATCTTAATGAGTAAGGGATTTTGTTTTATGTGTGACTGCTAAGAGAAAATTTCCAACCAGGTATTGCCATTCAATGCATTGATTGTGAAAATTGAGGCTTTTTAACTGCTAATGCGTCATTTTCCCTTCTACTTTTTCTTCCAGTGTTTAAAGGTCAATGTGATTCTCTGAAGGTTCAAGGTTTTTGTCCTATGGCCACCCTAAGAGAGTGGAAGAATGTGTGGAAGCATTGCAGGTTCAAAGTTGGCTTCATCTACCAGTCGTACACCTCCACGATGGGACACCTGTTGAAGCGGCAGTGCAAGTTCGTGGTGATGCAGCGCATCCAGCGGGCCCAACGCATCGCCCTCCTGTACTCCCGCATCTGGAACGAGGCGGCGGTTCGAAAGATGGTGCAGCGGTGGAACACTCGGCGATGGCGGAACCGATTCATGCTCGGGGCGGGGTTGGTTGCCAAGTTCACCTGGAACGAGGAACGGATTCCGTTGTCGTTCATGGAGCCGGTGCAACTACTACAGCTAAGCTAGGTACTCGAGTAGCTCCTTTGTGACCAGACACAGGTGACGGTGTTGGCGTTCCGTAAACTACCTTTCGCTCTTCCACAGAGTATAACGTGGACAGCCGTCTGAGCTGTGAAATGGCAAGATCACAGCTGGCAGCCGTTTCTGGAGCGTGCACATGTCACCGTCTGGCGGAAGCCGTACCGCGGAAACATTTATGAATACAAGGTTCATGGTGGCTATGCTGATGTAAGCGCCAAGAGTTTCTCTGTTGCTATGTTAGACATGGATTTCCGGTCGCAATGGGACGTATCTGCCATCGACTTGACCACTGTTGACGAAGATCCTGACTCCAATGCCATCATTCTCTATTCGGTGATGAAGTATCCCTTTCCGCTGACTCATCGTGACTATGTCTTCAAGCGATCTCACTGGTTCTTTCCGGAGAAGAAGACCTTGGTCCTGGTGAACCAGTCCACAACGCATCCAAAGTGTCCCTCGAACAATTCATACATGCGTATTGCTGCGTATCAATCGGTGATGACCATCCGGGCCTGCGGTCCCAGCTTCGAACAGCCCACCATGGAGTTCACGCTGCATTACTATGACGATCCAGGCGTTCAGCTTCCCACTGCGTTTGTCTCTTATGTCTCCATGTTTGGCTTCCAGTCATATCTGAGTGCCATGTATGAGGCAGCTCTGAAGGTTGAACGGGGTCAGCACATCAGTAAGATCAACGATCTGCTCTACAAGGAAAAGTCGCTTGCCACTCGCTTGGAGAATCTCACCCCAAAGAAGAAAGGTAGCGAAAGATGAGTCCGATTCTTGTAGTCTTTTATGGCAATTTAATTCTCAACTTCTGGTGCTCCTTACAAGGTGCATCTATCATAGTGTATGACGTATTAGTGGAATTCAGATCAACCTTGTGTGATGAAGTGACTCTACAGGAAAGTATTATTTAGGAAGAGAGGATTCTGATAACTTCATTTGCAGTGGATATTGAATTTTTATTATATCTGTCAAAGTGATTTTTCAACCTTCTTGCCA